AGTACTCAACTCATATCGTCTATATTGAGCTCCATTTTTTTCTTTTTTCTTTTTTCTTTTTTCTTTTTTCTTTTTTCAACTTTTCAATTTCATTGTCGTAATAATAATGTTCTCGGTAGAAGTTTTCACCTAATTTGTTGATGAAAACATCTCTCATCTCTCACAAAACATGTGGAGTGCTAACGTGCTAACCGTAAAATATTTATAAAGAAATACATTACATCATTCAAGCCCATCTCTTGTCATATATCTCAAATCATAGTTAAGGTTCTCGTACAACGTAAATAATGAAAAATTTTTATCCTATTTACCGTAGACAAGATATCAGTTCTATATAACATTAATATAAGTGGTACTGAAGGTATCTCCAAATCCAACGGGAGGTAAAACATCAAATATAGTGCAAAGATAGTATAATGAAAAATATTATATCAAATTCGGTGTAACACTATTCATTTACACCAAATATAAGAATTGTCATTTAACCCAAATTTGCCCTTGTTTACACTTTATAAAAATTATTTCTTAACTTTTCAATTTCATTGTCGTAATAATAATGTTCTCGGTAGAAGTTTTCACCTAATTTGTTGATGAAAACATCTCTCATCTTTGTTGATGAAAACATCTCTCATCTCTCACAAAACATGTGGAGTGCTAACGTGCTAATCGTAAAATATTTATAAAGAAATACATTACATCATTCAAGCCCATCTCTTGTCATATATCTCAAATCATAGTTAAGGTTCTCGTACAACGTAAATAATGAAAATTTTTTATCCTATTTACCGTAGACAAGATATCAATTCTATATAACATTAATATAAGTGGTACTGAAGGTATCTCCAAATCCAACGGGAGGTAAAACATCAAATATAGTGCAAAGATAGTATAATGAAAAATATTATATCAAATTCGGTTTAACACTATTCATTTACACCAAATATAAGAATTGTCATTTAACCCAAATTTGCCCTTGTTTACACTTTATAAAAATTATTTCTTCTATTTACGTCCTTATTTAATATTTTAGTATTAATAGATTTTAATAGATTCATAATTATTTTAATATGGTGGTTATTTTTATTATATTTATTTTTAAATTTTAATTATTTAATGAGTAATAATTATTTCAACCATAAATGAATATAGTAACTTCGATAAATAAGTAACAAAACAAGTTATCATTCTCGTCATATGTATTTTTTCTTGTGCTTTTATTATAATTTCTATAATTCGTGGTAATACAAGTAATTTTTTTTTTCAATTTATTAATAAATGCAATATTTTATTTCAGTAAAAAATATTACTACTTAAAACTCCATTTTAGCTATATAATGTGTCAAGCATGGGCTAAGTATTATTAAGTGAGAGATATGCCCTCCAGGACACATCCGAGTTGGTTGAACAATCACTTCGTTGGGACGCTGGAAGCAAGGGTGGAGAGTTCGATTCCTGGAGTTAACACTGGGTAAAATAAAATATGATATAAAATAATTCAAAATAAAATTTGATATAAAATTTAGTGTGAAATGATCTTCAATGGTCTAGTTACCAAATTTGGTGTAGATCATTGAATATGGACTAGGCCCGTATTTGACAACCATTATTTTATAATTTTTTTTATATATTCATTTTCAACTTTATATTCACTTAATAAAATATTTATACATAAATTTAAAATTTTTTCATACTTTTTAATTACATTTCTGTAAAAATATTACTACTTAAAACTCCATTTTAGCTATATAATATGTCAAGCACGGGCTAAGTATTATTAAGTGAGAGATACTACTTTTATTTATAATGAATTAGTAATTACTATAGTAAGAAGAGTCCAACATCAGGTGAGTGGGTGATTGGGTACATTAATTTCCGTGAGAAAGCCAAGTCGAGAGATGCTTGGTGTTCAGTTCACAGATTTTTTACACGATCCTTGATAATTTTACATTGATATAGGGTGTCTGTTTCTTATTTTCGCAAAAATGAGAATGAAAAATATAGTTGCTATAGATTCACATAAGAGATAGAAATTCAAATTGGTGGCTTGATGTAATGGATAACGATCATATTTTTCATTTTAATGAAAAAGAAATGAAAAACAAACAGGAGCATAGTTAAAAAATAATAAAGTCATGAGTACAAGAAAAATTTAACAGGCGTTGACGCAGCAAAATATAAGTGAATAGTATTTTCCTTTTTTCCTTATCTTCCAATGATGCCGCGTCATGTATTGTTCGTAAGGTTTTTCTATCAAAAAATTATGTACATATAGTATAGCATGATTGTAAAAATAAAAAAATAAGAAAAATAATAATAATAAAAAAATAAAAAATAAAAAGAAAAAATGGGTCGAATGGGTGCCGGGTTGGCGGCCCTGTAAAACTTCTGTTCAAGCCAAATTGCCCCTTCACAGCTCTCTAGAATCATCTTGTCTCTTTCTTAGACCTAACCCACTGGCGCCGCAGAAGACGATAGGTTGTCTTCTTCAGAAATCGTCCCACTAATAGCCATCAATTTTGACTCGACAAAAAAAAGAAGAAGAAGAAAATTACAGTATTTTGTATATTAAATTTTTTATCAACAAAAAGAAGAAACTCAATTTTATTTTTTCAGTTCGTGTTTAGATTATCAGTGAAGAGGAATATTGTCTAATTATGATATATTTTTTTATTTTTGAAATAAATTTGTTGATGAATAACATGGTATGCATTTTTGAGATTGACGTGTCGGGGTCCCACCTCACTTGTCTTTGCAGGTAATCGTCAATTGAATGTATCTATCAATATGCCATCGGAAAGTAATCTATTAGGTTAATTAATGACTGATTAGATAAGCAAACATAAATTATATGGGAGTTGGTATGGATAAGTATGATAATAGGAAAATAGAATCCTATTCCTCTGATCGCCAAGAGGCGAAATTAGGGTATGACAATTTTTATTTTTTACGCTAATCTGTTATATATATACAAATAATAATAATAATAATAATAATAATAATAATAAAATCTATTTGTAATAATTTTAAACGTAATATATATTTTTGTGACGAGATTTTTATTCGAAAAATAAGTTTCAATCTAGTAATCAAGAATTAATTTTTTGTTAAAAATAAGGTGATCACATGAATGTATAAGCACTCACAATTAGAGTATATCACAATCAGACATTATACTAAGTCACAGTGAATATAATTTAGGGAAAATTGCAGCAGATGTCCCAAATTTTTAAAACATTAGCACCTTCCCTAAATTTTTAATTTGTTGCAACCGTCACCCCAAAACTTTCGAAAAGTTGCTGTGGAGGTCCTTTTTGACGATTTTCATCTAAATGTTTGTTAGTTGACCAAAAAATTTGACTTCGATCATATTTTTAATATTTTTGAAATGATAAAATAGTAATTTTTCATTTATTACATTAAAATAAGTTAAAAATTAAATTAAAAAAAGAAATTAGAAAATAAAAACCAATCATCCCACCCCACCTCACCCCACCCCACCCAAAATCAATTTCCGACCACCTCCACCTCACCTCCACCTCCACCTCCATTCCCAATCATAAAAATCCAAACCAAAATGTAACCCATAGAAATATAAAGACAGAGAAACCAAAATGTAACCCACAGGCCACAAATTTATGGTTAAAAAAAAATGGATTTTTTGTAGGTCACTTCCAATATTAAGGATGTATGGTAAAATCAATGGAATGTTTCACAATCATATATGCTACTTCCTCTACAATTTTCCAAGGGCTGCTGATTTTTTGTTGTTAGTAATGGGGTTCGGCTTTGGAGAGAGGCAACCACCCATAAAATCTCAATCTCTCCATAATTCTCATTCTTCCCTTTCAAGCTTATTTTCTGTGGATTACATTATGATTTGGGTCTTTATGGTTGGGAATGGATATGGAGGTGGAGGTGGGCGGGAATTGATTTTGGGTTGGGGATGGGATGGGAGGAAGAAGATGATTGGTTTTTATTTTCTAATTTCTTTTTTTTTAATTTAATTTCTAACTTATTTTAATGTAATAATTGAAAAGTTACTATTTTACCCTTTCAAAAATATTAAAAATATGGTCAAAGTCAATTT